AATAAAAAGTGTCAAGTATATGTTTATGTCATTCCTTGGTTGTTTTGGACTTGGAATTAACATGAACAACATCATGAATTTCCTTTTCATGCATAATCATGGAAGTAGGTTATATATAATCATAATCATGGGTCACGTGCTATGCGAGCTGTTTTTCATACCATATAGATTTATTCCATTATTAGATAAAACAAGACATAGGTTTTGTAGTTCTTTCCCAAACTTAGGATAATCATGATCAACTTTTTCCCATTGAGAAGAATTTGTAGGGTGTCAAGCTTTCCATCACATATCCTTTCCTTCACATATGTTTACATCATTTGACATGTTTAAATTCAAATGTCAATATTGAAACGTCATTTAATACGTAAAAAGAATTTAACGTCATTGAATTAAAAAGATTATATACATTTATTTTTTAAGTGTTAAAGACTAAAATATATCAAAAAATTAAACACTAACAAATTTCAATTTTAACGTAAATAAAGATTCACGAAAGCATCAAAGCCCATAATATGTCTACATTTAAGAAATAAAACAGTTGTGTGATGAAAATGTTTACTCGGTCAATTAGGATTAATGAGTACAGAGAATCAAGTTTGACAAAATTTAAAATATTACTTAACGACAAGAAATTGATAGATGTATCTCAAAAATGCAGTACAGAAAGAAAACAAAGGCAATGGTTAGCTTCAAAAAGCCGAAACAACCAAAATTATTTTCTAGCAAATTTCCAGTATGCACTAGAAAACTGGAAAAGGCCTTTCTCTCTTATCTAATATTAAATCTAACAAACAGCATAGCTACAACCCATGCTTCGAACTTTCAGTAATAAACTGCGAAAACGAATACAAACGTGATATATTTTAAAATTAACCTTTAAATTTTAATGTAATTTACCCTAGTTAAAATCCCTCTAACCCCTTCTATCACTAGATTCTATACATTAACAGCTCTACCCTTGTCAATCTCTCTTTTTGCCGTCATGTTTAACTGTTTTTTAAAAAGGTTTTTGTAATTTTTAGAACATGAATTTTGGTTTTTTCTCATTTTTTCTCTCTCTTTTTAACAGATTATTGCAAATGTTGCAAATGATTATCGAAGTACGGCATCTTAATTAGGTTGACGCATATTCATAAAGTCTACATATAAAACCTGTAAAATTACATGTAATATCCTTTATATATACATATCAGTATCTTCCGGTGCATAAGAATTATCTTAGACATTTAAATTTTATTAATAAAATTGCCGGCTTTGACCACAAAAGTCTAATAACCACAAAAATCAAACTTCAACACTTTGGCTTTGACCGCTTTACTAGTGGTGCCGAGTCATCAATATTTCAGTTTCCTGTTTTCGGAGTTTTATATGATAAACTAAGTGACGCCTATATATTGTCTACTTCGTTGATCCTCGCCAACTCTGTTCTTTGTTTTCTGACACTCTTCTCTGCAGACATGTTGGGGTTTCCTTTTGGTATTGTTTTCCTTTTGACTGCAGCATTTGCGGTGTTATGTTCATGTGGACATGCACCACTTGGTTGCAATGAAGAAGAAAGGCAAGCTCTTCTAAGGATCAAAGGAAGCTTCAAAGATCCTTCAAGGCTTTCATCTTGGGAAGGAACTAGTTGTTGCCAATGGAAAGGCGTAGGTTGCAATAATGTTACAGGCCATGTTGTGAAGCTAGATCTCAGAAATCCTTGTTATCCCTTACAAGGAGATTTTCAACCAAACTGTAAGTTTTACGATCATGTCCTCGAAGCTCAACATGTTCACCCTTCTATATTGCAGCTTACATATCTAACTTATGTAGATTTGAGTGGAAACAAATTTCTTAATAGTTCAATACCAGCGTTCATTCAAAAGCTGCAGCATCTGCAATCCCTTTATCTCTCTGATAGTCATTTTAGTGGTAGGATCCCGTCCAATCTTGGGAACCTCACAAATTTGCTCGTTCTTGATTTGAGCTTCAATGCTCTTTTGTATACGGATGACTTCTATTGGATTTCTCAACTTTCATCTCTCCAATACCTATACATGAGTGATGTGATTCTTGATAAAGCACAAAATTTGTTGCAGTCACTCAACATGCTTCCTTCTTTGATAGAAATAGATTTGAGAAATTGTGGACTTGATAAATTGCACACCCATCAACATATTAGCACCACAAACCTTTCCAGACTGGAATACCTCAATCTAGCAGAAAATGGACTTCAGACTCCGTTTTTGGATGCTTTTCAAAATATGACTTCCATTACAGTCATTGACCTTTCTCACAACAACCTGAATTCCACTCCCTTCTGGTTGGAAACCTGTGCTAACCTCGACAGTCTATTTCTTTATAGTAATGTTTTTTATGGCTCACTTCCATCTGCTTTGCAGAATCTGACTTCCCTGGTTTCTCTCGACCTTTCACAAAACAAGTTTGATTCTGTTCCGGGTTGGTTAGGTGAGTTAAAGGGTCTTCAATACCTCAATCTTTCAAGTAACGATGTCAATCATATTGAGGGATCTCTGGCATATCTTCTGGGAAACTGTTGCCATCTTCAACAATTAGATATGTCAACAAACAAAATTCAAAGTGATGCACTTGGAAACCATACGCAGTTTGAATGCATTAGGCACGATTTAATGTACTTGGATTTAAGTCACAACGAATGTAATGGTCCTTTGCCAGCATGGTTGGGACAGCTTGAAAATCTAAGTTCATTGATTATGACTGACAGTAACTTGGTGGGATCACTTCCTTGTGCTATAATAACAAAACTTGTCAATCTGAAGACTTTGGTGCTTTCCAACAATAACTTCACCGGTTCTCTTCCTGACTGTATCGGGGAACTTGTCAGTTTAAAGATTTTAATTCTTTCTTCCAATCATTTTGATGGGATCATTCCAAGGAGTTTAGGGAAACTTGTAAGCCTAACAGATATAAATCTTTCACGAAACTCTTTAAATGGTAGCATTCCTCACAATATTGGTCAGCTTCAAAATTTGTCCACCCTCTATTTTTCTGAAAACAAGTTACACGGAAGCATTCCTTTCAGTCTTAGTCAGCTTGTAAACCTTCAGAACTTAGACATATCCCTAAACCATTTGGAGAATTTGGTGTCTGACATAAGATGGCCCAGGCAACTTGTCTACTTAAATCTCACCGATAATCGTATCAGCGGGTCACTTCCCCAAAATATTTCTGATAGCTTGCCCAATGTCGGTTACATGCTTCTTGGAAACAACCTTATAAGTGGTCCCATTCCAAACTCATTGTGCAGAATAGGCTCCTTGTACAATCTTGACCTTTCAGGAAACATGTTAATTGGTGAAATTCCTAATTGTTGGAGTGTTACTCAAAAAATCGGTGTCATAAATTTGGCATCCAACAGATTATCCGGTGTCATTCCTAGCTCTCTTGGTAATCTACCCACGTTGGCATGGTTACATTTGAACAATAACAGCCTTCATGGGGGCTTTCCGTCATCTTGGAGAAATTTAAGTCAACTTTTAATTTTGAATGTTGGAGATAATGATTTGTCTGGGATTATCCCTTCATGGATGGGGAATATCTTTTCCTCGATGCAGATTCTAAGGCTACGGCAGAACAGGTTGAATGGAACAATTCCTTTACAACTATGCCAACTTTCTGCACTGCAAATTTTGGATCTTTCAAACAACAACTTGATGGGTCCAATCCCTCATTGCATAGGAAATCTCACAGGTATGGCCTCAAAAAAGAATAGTTCTGTAAATCAATCTAACAGAACTGTTGAATGGTATGAACAAGACGTTAGAGTGGTCATCAAAGGAAGAGAACTTGAGTATACCAGAAATCTAAAACTTGTGGTAAACTTGGACTTGTCAAATAACAATTTGGTTGGATCTATTCCAGAAGGAATAACATCACTTCGTGCATTGCATGGCCTAAATCTATCACACAATCGTTTGTCAGGACATATCCCCAAAAGAATTGGAGACATGAAATCACTAGAATCTCTTGACCTCTCTCATGACCAACTTTCTGGTGCAATTTCAGAAAGCATAACTAGTTTAACTTGGTTAAGTTACTTAAACTTGTCCTACAACAACCTTTCAGGACAAATCCCCCAAGGACCTCAATTATCAACCCTTGAGGATCCTTCTATTTATGGTGGAAACCCGTTTCTGTGTGGACCTCCACTTCCGAATAAGTGTTTTCATGATGATTTCCAAGGAGGTGATGAAGATGAAGAAAAAGATCACAAAGAGGATAAAGTAGAGAAATTGTGGTTTTACTGTGTCATTGCACTTGGCTATTTTATGGGATTTTGGGCTGTGACGGGAAGCTTGTTGTTGAAGAGAAGTTGGAGACTTGCTTACTTTCAATATATTGATGAGTCAACACAGAGGATAAATGAATCATTGACAATACATTTAGCAACTTTTAAGGAAAGATTGACAGGAATAGTGAATCGTGGTGCTGAGTGACACACTATGGTAGTCTTTATCCATTCTGTCTCTCTTTTGTTATTGGAAGATTTCACGTTTATTTTGCTTGATAAATAATTACTTGGACTTTGTAAAATAGGAATAAATGCAAGTTGTAGAATTTATAGTTTAACTAATAGTTGCTAAAATATTGGAAAGTGTATCCTTTTCCAATTCCCAAATAATCTGAGTCATACAACCTCCCCTACACTCATAAGAAAGGTTGATTTTTTTTTAATTTGAGAAATGTAATAATTATTATTATTATTATAATAATAATAATAATAATTATTATTATTATTATTATTAATATTATCATACATTTTTAGTTTGAACATGAAAATAATCAAAATGCGTGTTCATATTTCAGACTTTTGCGAGGAATTTTTCTCTGTACCACTGTTGTGCATAAATTTTACACATTGTCATAGAATATTGCTTTTTTATTAGAAAAATTAATACTGAAAAGTAGAATTTTTTTTGTTTCAAAACAAACAAACAATATTTAAATTTCTTGTTCTAAACCAACTCTTAANTTTTTATGGCTCACTTCCATCTGCTTTGCAGAATCTGACTTCCCTGGTTTCTCTCGACCTTTCACAAAACAAGTTTGATTCTGTTCCGGGTTGGTTAGGTGAGTTAAAGGGTCTTCAATACCTCAATCTTTCAAGTAACGATGTCAATCATATTGAGGGATCTCTGGCATATCTTCTGGGAAACTGTTGCCATCTTCAACAATTAGATATGTCAACAAACAAAATTCAAAGTGATGCACTTGGAAACCATACGCAGTTTGAATGCATTAGGCACGATTTAATGTACTTGGATTTAAGTCACAACGAATGTAATGGTCCTTTGCCAGCATGGTTGGGACAGCTTGAAAATCTAAGTTCATTGATTATGACTGACAGTAACTTGGTGGGATCACTTCCTTGTGCTATAATAACAAAACTTGTCAATCTGAAGACTTTGGTGCTTTCCAACAATAACTTCACCGGTTCTCTTCCTGACTGTATCGGGGAACTTGTCAGTTTAAAGATTTTAATTCTTTCTTCCAATCATTTTGATGGGATCATTCCAAGGAGTTTAGGGAAACTTGTAAGCCTAACAGATATAAATCTTTCACGAAACTCTTTAAATGGTAGCATTCCTCACAATATTGGTCAGCTTCAAAATTTGTCCACCCTCTATTTTTCTGAAAACAAGTTACACGGAAGCATTCCTTTCAGTCTTAGTCAGCTTGTAAACCTTCAGAACTTAGACATATCCCTAAACCATTTGGAGAATTTGGTGTCTGACATAAGATGGCCCAGGCAACTTGTCTACTTAAATCTCACCGATAATCGTATCAGCGGGTCACTTCCCCAAAATATTTCTGATAGCTTGCCCAATGTCGGTTACATGCTTCTTGGAAACAACCTTATAAGTGGTCCCATTCCAAACTCATTGTGCAGAATAGGCTCCTTGTACAATCTTGACCTTTCAGGAAACATGTTAATTGGTGAAATTCCTAATTGTTGGAGTGTTACTCAAAAAATCGGTGTCATAAATTTGGCATCCAACAGATTATCCGGTGTCATTCCTAGCTCTCTTGGTAATCTACCCACGTTGGCATGGTTACATTTGAACAATAACAGCCTTCATGGGGGCTTTCCGTCATCTTGGAGAAATTTAAGTCAACTTTTAATTTTGAATGTTGGAGATAATGATTTGTCTGGGATTATCCCTTCATGGATGGGGAATATCTTTTCCTCGATGCAGATTCTAAGGCTACGGCAGAACAGGTTGAATGGAACAATTCCTTTACAACTATGCCAACTTTCTGCACTGCAAATTTTGGATCTTTCAAACAACAACTTGATGGGTCCAATCCCTCATTGCATAGGAAATCTCACAGGTATGGCCTCAAAAAAGAATAGTTCTGTAAATCAATCTAACAGAACTGTTGAATGGTATGAACAAGACGTTAGAGTGGTCATCAAAGGAAGAGAACTTGAGTATACCAGAAATCTAAAACTTGTGGTAAACTTGGACTTGTCAAATAACAATTTGGTTGGATCTATTCCAGAAGGAATAACATCACTTCGTGCATTGCATGGCCTAAATCTATCACACAATCGTTTGTCAGGACATATCCCCAAAAGAATTGGAGACATGAAATCACTAGAATCTCTTGACCTCTCTCATGACCAACTTTCTGGTGCAATTTCAGAAAGCATAACTAGTTTAACTTGGTTAAGTTACTTAAACTTGTCCTACAACAACCTTTCAGGACAAATCCCCCAAGGACCTCAATTATCAACCCTTGAGGATCCTTCTATTTATGGTGGAAACCCGTTTCTGTGTGGACCTCCACTTCCGAATAAGTGTTTTCATGATGATTTCCAAGGAGGTGATGAAGATGAAGAAAAAGATCACAAAGAGGATAAAGTAGAGAAATTGTGGTTTTACTGTGTCATTGCACTTGGCTATTTTATGGGATTTTGGGCTGTGACGGGAAGCTTGTTGTTGAAGAGAAGTTGGAGACTTGCTTACTTTCAATATATTGATGAGTCAACACAGAGGATAAATGAATCATTGACAATACATTTAGCAACTTTTAAGGAAAGATTGACAGGAATAGTGAATCGTGGTGCTGAGTGACACACTATGGTAGTCTTTATCCATTCTGTCTCTCTTTTGTTATTGGAAGATTTCACGTTTATTTTGCTTGATAAATAATTACTTGGACTTTGTAAAATAGGAATAAATGCAAGTTGTAGAATTTATAGTTTAACTAATAGTTGCTAAAATATTGGAAAGTGTATCCTTTTCCAATTCCCAAATAATCTGAGTCATACAACCTCCCCTACACTCATAAGAAAGGTTGATTTTTTTTTAATTTGAGAAATGTAATAATTATTATTATTATTATAATAATAATAATAATAATTATTATTATTATTATTATTAATATTATCATACATTTTTAGTTTGAACATGAAAATAATCAAAATGCGTGTTCATATTTCAGACTTTTGCGAGGAATTTTTCTCTGTACCACTGTTGTGCATAAATTTTACACATTGTCATAGAATATTGCTTTTTTATTAGAAAAATTAATACTGAAAAGTAGAATTTTTTTTGTTTCAAAACAAACAAACAATATTTAAATTTCTTGTTCTAAACCAACTCTTAAACTAAAATAATTAGCATAAAGAAAATTTAAACTATTATACAAATTAAAAATTTTAAAATATAAGAGGCCATGAAGCTACACTTTCAAGTAAATACTTCTTCACCTTAGTGATAAAAAGCAGACCATGTGCGGCAAATACGGTAGATAGTTAATTCATGAATTAAATATATTTTTAATTTTTAAATTTGGACACAAAACTGATATTTATTAATATTTTAAATTTTGATATAGATTGATTTTAAATTTTAAAAATAAATATATATAATCTCATAATTTAATTATGTTAAATTTTTTTTTGTCAAACATTTTTCAAAATAACATTTATATTGTTTAGACAACTTTTAATTCAAATATCAATCTATAGCAAAGTTTAACAAATCTAAAAAACACAACACATTAAATTAAAATACTATATTCATCTATTTTTAAAATTTAAAATAAAATTTTTAAATTAAAAAGAAAAAGTATCAAAATCTTAAAAGAAATATTATATTTAAATTTAAGAATTAAAAACATATTTAATTCTTAATTTATTTATTTATTATTTATATATTAAGAAATTATCATAATAATTGGTTACTTTGATATCCAAGACATATAAGACGAGACCTATAAAATGACATTTTGGAAGTAGTAATATTTTAAAAACAATGAGATTCAATTATTTAGTATTAAATTATTTTAATATAAATACTTTTGTTATAAACAAGTTTTATTATTTGAAAATGTAATCTTTCTAAAAACCACTTTTTTATAATTTTCTAACTTATCTCTAGGAGTTCTTCTCTTGGGTTCATTGTTTGAATATCAGAGACCATCTAAGTGATCGCAGTGACTAGATCTTCAAGTCTACCTAATCAGTTTCTCCAAAATAGTAAGCTAGCTTCTACTCTTTTTCTTTGGTTTGTCTCGACGAGCCTTAGTGTTTTTGCATGTAAAGTTTGAGTCTTTTATAAGACTCTGTGATGATCAATAGTTATAATGGCATACATTGATCATATTTTCATTGTTCGTAGCTATAGATCCTTTGATATGTGAGAGTTTTTTGGGGTTCTTTAAAGTCGTGCAATAGTTTAACAGGTAAGAGGAGCTAGTTAATTTGATTTTAACTTATAAACAGGTCTTAATTGATGTTTGTATGGTAGTTGATTTGTGAAATTGAATTATTTGTGAAATTTGATATGTTGGGTTGCTTAATGAAGATGGTATGTTGAATGGAATTTGATGTATTTTTGCGTATATATGAATTACTGCTTTTATGCTTGACTCTTGAGGATTTGGAAATGTTAAATTGGGTATCCTAATTTGATTAAGTGTTGTTGAACCTTGGTCTCATATTAGGCTAAAGAAAATGGTAGGTTTTTGGTCTAGAATGAGGTTTTAGCATATGAAAGTCTAGAAGGTTGGTAAGTAGGAAAAGTTGGAAGTTTAAGATCTATTGTTAGGTAATTATATAGAGTGGCTGAGCAAGAGTTCCCTTTGAGCAAGCAAAACCCACTACTTTTGTAGTGGTTGAGCGAGAGTTCCCGTTAGGCGAGCAAAGCTCATTGTGTTTGCAATGGCTGAGTGAGAGTTCTCGTTAGGAAAATAAAGCTCAGTGTTTCTACAATGGTTGGGCGAGAGTTCTCGCTAAGCGAGAGTTTTGGATCGCTAGGCTCCAGACTTGGTGTTGGATGCTTGTTTTCTATAATTTCTTTTATTATTTTCTTGGGTTCTCTAAGTTGTGTCTTAATTGACTTTGATTTACAATATACTTGAATTGATATTTATTGATGCTCATTGAATTATATAAATGTGATTGTGAGAATGGAAGATATGTGATGTGAGAAGAACCTCAAGGAGAGGTTTAGTGTTTGAGAAAGGTATGGTGTATGCTTAATAGTGAGATTTCTGAAAAGAAGTATCTTGATACTCTATCAACCATTCAACTGATGTACACATGAATGGGGTGGCAGAGAGAATGGCAAGAGGTATTTACCCTAGACTTCTTAGTCTTAGAAGTGGAAGATTAATCTCATGAGTAGTAGGTCGAGTTACCCTTGTTTATAACTTTATGTAGTATAAAAACTACCATAGGTGCACGCCTTTATTGAAGTCTATGTCAAAGCATTGTATCCGGATAATTGAGTCTAAAGTTAAATGATGAGATGTTTATATGAGTTATAGAATGTTTCAGTATTGAACTAATATGTGATGTATTAAACTGTCTATGAAGTTTTCTTTTGAATATTAGTTTACCCTGTTGTCTTTGTTGTTGTTCTTGGTGTGATGTTTATTTTCATTTGTGATGATCACCTTATTAGTGGAAATATATGAGAGATAGGTGTTGAAGTATCATAGTAGAGNTTATGTAGATTTGAGTGGAAACAAATTTCTTAATAGTTCAATACCAGCGTTCATTCAAAAGCTGCAGCATCTGCAATCCCTTTATCTCTCTGATAGTCATTTTAGTGGTAGGATCCCGTCCAATCTTGGGAACCTCACAAATTTGCTCGTTCTTGATTTGAGCTTCAATGCTCTTTTGTATACGGATGACTTCTATTGGATTTCTCAACTTTCATCTCTCCAATACCTATACATGAGTGATGTGATTCTTGATAAAGCACAAAATTTGTTGCAGTCACTCAACATGCTTCCTTCTTTGATAGAAATAGATTTGAGAAATTGTGGACTTGATAAATTGCACACCCATCAACATATTAGCACCACAAACCTTTCCAGACTGGAATACCTCAATCTAGCAGAAAATGGACTTCAGACTCCGTTTTTGGATGCTTTTCAAAATATGACTTCCATTACAGTCATTGACCTTTCTCACAACAACCTGAATTCCACTCCCTTCTGGTTGGAAACCTGTGCTAACCTCGACAGTCTATTTCTTTATAGTAATGTTTTTTATGGCTCACTTCCATCTGCTTTGCAGAATCTGACTTCCCTGGTTTCTCTCGACCTTTCACAAAACAAGTTTGATTCTGTTCCGGGTTGGTTAGGTGAGTTAAAGGGTCTTCAATACCTCAATCTTTCAAGTAACGATGTCAATCATATTGAGGGATCTCTGGCATATCTTCTGGGAAACTGTTGCCATCTTCAACAATTAGATATGTCAACAAACAAAATTCAAAGTGATGCACTTGGAAACCATACGCAGTTTGAATGCATTAGGCACGATTTAATGTACTTGGATTTAAGTCACAACGAATGTAATGGTCCTTTGCCAGCATGGTTGGGACAGCTTGAAAATCTAAGTTCATTGATTATGACTGACAGTAACTTGGTGGGATCACTTCCTTGTGCTATAATAACAAAACTTGTCAATCTGAAGACTTTGGTGCTTTCCAACAATAACTTCACCGGTTCTCTTCCTGACTGTATCGGGGAACTTGTCAGTTTAAAGATTTTAATTCTTTCTTCCAATCATTTTGATGGGATCATTCCAAGGAGTTTAGGGAAACTTGTAAGCCTAACAGATATAAATCTTTCACGAAACTCTTTAAATGGTAGCATTCCTCACAATATTGGTCAGCTTCAAAATTTGTCCACCCTCTATTTTTCTGAAAACAAGTTACACGGAAGCATTCCTTTCAGTCTTAGTCAGCTTGTAAACCTTCAGAACTTAGACATATCCCTAAACCATTTGGAGAATTTGGTGTCTGACATAAGATGGCCCAGGCAACTTGTCTACTTAAATCTCACCGATAATCGTATCAGCGGGTCACTTCCCCAAAATATTTCTGATAGCTTGCCCAATGTCGGTTACATGCTTCTTGGAAACAACCTTATAAGTGGTCCCATTCCAAACTCATTGTGCAGAATAGGCTCCTTGTACAATCTTGACCTTTCAGGAAACATGTTAATTGGTGAAATTCCTAATTGTTGGAGTGTTACTCAAAAAATCGGTGTCATAAATTTGGCATCCAACAGATTATCCGGTGTCATTCCTAGCTCTCTTGGTAATCTACCCACGTTGGCATGGTTACATTTGAACAATAACAGCCTTCATGGGGGCTTTCCGTCATCTTGGAGAAATTTAAGTCAACTTTTAATTTTGAATGTTGGAGATAATGATTTGTCTGGGATTATCCCTTCATGGATGGGGAATATCTTTTCCTCGATGCAGATTCTAAGGCTACGGCAGAACAGGTTGAATGGAACAATTCCTTTACAACTATGCCAACTTTCTGCACTGCAAATTTTGGATCTTTCAAACAACAACTTGATGGGTCCAATCCCTCATTGCATAGGAAATCTCACAGGTATGGCCTCAAAAAAGAATAGTTCTGTAAATCAATCTAACAGAACTGTTGAATGGTATGAACAAGACGTTAGAGTGGTCATCAAAGGAAGAGAACTTGAGTATACCAGAAATCTAAAACTTGTGGTAAACTTGGACTTGTCAAATAACAATTTGGTTGGATCTATTCCAGAAGGAATAACATCACTTCGTGCATTGCATGGCCTAAATCTATCACACAATCGTTTGTCAGGACATATCCCCAAAAGAATTGGAGACATGAAATCACTAGAATCTCTTGACCTCTCTCATGACCAACTTTCTGGTGCAATTTCAGAAAGCATAACTAGTTTAACTTGGTTAAGTTACTTAAACTTGTCCTACAACAACCTTTCAGGACAAATCCCCCAAGGACCTCAATTATCAACCCTTGAGGATCCTTCTATTTATGGTGGAAACCCGTTTCTGTGTGG